CTATTCCTATTCTATTCCTATTCTATTTCTATTCTATTCCTATTCTATTCCTATTCTATTTCTATTCTATTCCTATTCTTTTTTTCCTTTTCTATTCCTATTCTATTTCTATTCCTATTCTATTTCTATTCCTATTCTTTTATATTCTATTCTTATTCTATTCTAATTCTATTCTAATTCTATTTCTATTCTATTCCTATTCCTTTGTATTCTATTCCTATTCCTATTCTTTTCTATTCTATTCCTATCCTATTTCTATTCCTATCCTATTTCTATTCCTATTCTATCCCCCAAGCGCAGGGAGAGTCGCCAGTTTCTTTTCCTCCTAGGATATCGTGGCTTCCCTCCCCAAAGCAGCGCCCAGCTGAGCCGAGTCCCTCGTCGGGGGTGGGGTGGGGAGCTGCGTGCCGAGCGCAGCCTCCCAGGCCAGGCCCGCCCGGCGGGAGATTTAAAAGCGGCTCGGGGCGGGAGGGCCACCCTCGGGGCCGCGGGCGCGAGAGAGACAGAGATGGCGACTTTGATGGACGAGGCCATGGAGAGTTACGCGTATCCCTCGTATAGTCCTTACTCCTACCGTTACCAGCCGCCCAAGAGCAAAAGCGGGCCGGGCGCCTGGCGGCACCAGCAACACCAACCCCACCACCAGCACCGCAGCAGCTACTTCTCCGGCTACAGCGAAGCGGTGGCGGCGGCGGCGGCGGCCGAGTACTTCGACAACTACCAGCGGGCGCAGCTGAAGGCCATCCTCTCGCAGGTCAACCCTAACTTGACGCCGCGGTTGCGCAAGGCCAACACCAAGGAGGTGGGAGTCCAGGTCAACCCGCGCCAGGACGTCTCGGTCCAGTGCTCGCTCGGGCCGCGGCCGCTCTTCTTCCGCGCCCGGCCCCGCGGAGGCGGAGGCGGCGGCGGTGGTGGCGGCGTCGAGCAAGAGCAAGGCTGCCCGGTGAGCGGCGCCGCGCGGCACGTGCGCTTCCCGCGGACCATCGCCGTCTACTCGCCGGTGGCTTCGCGACGCCTCACCACCTTCTTGGGAGAAGCCGAGGCCCGGGAGGCGGCGACGACGACGACGACGCCCGACGACGCTCCGACCCCGGGCCCCGAAGGGAACGCTGCTACCGCCGCCGCCGCCGCCGGTAAAGCCGAGGAGAGCAGCGCCAAGTCCCAGGAGCGGAAGAAGTCGCCGTCGAAGCCCCAAGCCGGCAGCGCGGCGTCGGAAAAGGGGAAAAGCGAAGACGGGAAAGGCGCCCCGCCGCAACCGGCTCCTGAGGAAAACGGGCCGAGCAAGGCGCGCGTGCGCTTCCAGGTGCGAATCCTCCACAGCCCCCCCCCCCCCCGTCGACGACAAGGCCCCAGGAGCCTCCCCGCAATCCAGCCGGGTTGTTTAAGCCAAGA